ATGTTGTGCGGTTGTACCGTGTGGCCGCATGGTTACACTGCCCACTCTCGTCTTCGGCTGCTTGTAACGCATTGATCCATTTTGTTTTGGCCTTTGACCCGAACACGAAACTTGTCCCATTTTGAGTCCCGAACATGGTTCCATCAATAGTTTCATAAACGAGCAATCCCATTGCTTGTTTCACTTGCTTTCCCCTTGATTACGTCATTGGTCCGCCATCGAAAATCAACGGGTCTCGTCTAGCACTTGCCTTCGTCGGGCTCGACTCCTGGATCATATCAGACACCGTCAGGACAAATAACAAAATTGCCCCTGGTGCGGTTTTTCTTTGTTGATTTTCTGTCCAACACTTCTTCAGCCAGACATAATTAAAACGAAAATTAATTATTTGGAGGCCTAAACGAAGGAATTTGGATAAAATCCCCTGATCCCGGGTCTGTGCCCCGAGTCTAATTTCTGGGGCCATTTTCAATCAACTTGCCAAATTTCAGCTCATTCCGACACCGTCGTGAAAAATGACGAAATCACCCCTGTGCGGTTTTTCTTTGTAAATTTTCTGTCCAACACTTCTTCAACTTGATCTAATTAATACGGAAATTAATTATTGGAGGCCTAAATGAACGAATTTGGCTAAAATCCCATGATCTCGGGTCAGCGCCTTGAGTCCAATTTCTGGGGCCGTTTCCAATCATCCTGCCAAATTTCGGCTCATTCCGACACCGTCGCGACAAATGACGAAATTGCCCCTGTGCGGTTTTTCTTTGTTAATTTTCTGTCCAACACTTCTTCAACCTGATATAATTAATACGGAAATTGATTATTCAGAGGCCTAAATGAAGGAATTTGGCTTAAATCCCGGGTTTGTGCCCCCAGTCCAATTTCTGGGGCCGTTTCCAATCAACTTGCCAAATTTCGACCAATTTTGACACCGTCGGGACAAATGACGAAATTGCCCCTGGTGCGGGTTTTCTTTGTTAATATTTTGTCCAACACTTCTTCAACCTGACATAATTAATACGAAAATTAATTATTCAAAGGCCTAAATGAAAGAATTTGGCTAAAATCCAGTGATCTCGGGTTTGTGCCCCGAGTCCAATTTCTTGGGCCGTTTCCAGTCAACCTGCCAAATTTCGGCTCATCCCGGCACCGTCGTGCCAAATGACAAAATCGCCCCTGTGTAGTTTTTCTTTGTTAATTTTCTGTCCAACACTTCTTCAACCTGATATAATTAATACGAAAATTGATTATTCGGAGCCCTAAACGAAGGAATTTGGCTTAAATCCCGTGATCCCGAGTCTGTGCCCCCAGTCTAATTTCTGGGGCTATTTACGATCAACCTGCCTAATTTCGACCAATTTCGACACCGTCACGACAAATGACGAAATTGCCCCGGGTGCGGTTTTTCTTTCTTAATTTTCTGTCCAGCACTTCTTCAACCTGACATAATTAATACGGGAATTAATTATTTGGAGGCCTAAAACAAGGAATTTAGCTAAAATCCCGTGATCTCGGGTCTGTGCCCCGAGTCCAATTTTTGGGGCCGTTTCCAATCAACCTGTCAAATTTCGGGCCGTTCCGACACCGTTGGGACAAATGACGAAATTGCCCCTGGTGCGGTTTTTCTTTGTTAATTTTATGTCCAACACTTCTTCAACCTGACATAATTAATACGAAAATTAATTATTCGGATGACTAAACGAAGGAATTTGGCAAAAATCCCGTGATCCTGGGTCTGTGCCCCTAGTCCAATTTCTCGGACCGTTTCCAATTAGCATGCTAAATTTTAGCCCATTCCGACACTGTCGTGACAAATGATGAAATTTCCCATGGTGCGGTTTGTCTTTGTTAATTTTCTGTCCAACGTTTCTTCAACCGGACGTAATTAATACGGAAATTAATTATTCGGAGGCCTAAACAAAGGAATTTGGCTAAAATCCCGTGATCCCGGGTCTATGCCCCGAGTCCAATTTCTGGGGCCGTTTCCAATCAACTAGCCAAATTTCGGCCCATTCCGACACCGTCGCGAATAATGACAAAATTGCCCCTGATGTGGTTTTGCGTTGTCAATTTTCTGTCCAACACTTCTTCAACCTGACATAATTAATACGGAAATTAATTATTCAGAGGCCTAAACTAAGGAATTTGGCTAAAATCTCATGATCTCGGGTCTAAGCCTCGAGTCCAATTTCTGGGGCCGTTTCCAATCACCATGCCAAATTTCGGCCCATTCCAACACCGTCGTGACAAATGACGAAATCGCCCTGGTGCGATTTTTTTTGTTAATTTTCTGTCCAACACTTCTTCAACTTGACATAATTAATACGAAAATTAATTATTCGGAGGCCTAAACGAAGGAATTTGGATAAAATCCCGTGATCCCGGGTCTGTGCCCCGAGTATAATTTCTGGGGCCGTTTCCAATCAACCTACCAAATTTCGGGCCATTCCGACAACGTCGGGACAAATTACAAAATTGCCCCTGGTGCAGTTTTTCTTTATTAATTTTCTGTCCAACACTTCTTCAGCCAGACATAATTAATACGAAAATTAATTATTCGGAGGCCTAAACGAAGGAATTTGGCTTAAATCTTGTTATCCCGGGTCTGTGCCCCCAGTCCAATTTCTAGGGCCCTTTACAATCAACCTGCCATATTTTGGCACACTGCGACAGCGTCGCGACAAATGACGAAATTGCCCTAGGTGCGGCTTTTCTTTGTTCATTTTCTGTCCAACACCTCTTCAACCTGACATAATTAATACGAAAATTAATTATTCGGAGGCCTAAACAAAGGAATTTGGCTAAAATCCCGTGATCCTGGGTCTAAGCCTCGAGTCCAATTTCTGGGGCCGTTTCCAATCACCATGCCAAATTTCGGCCCATTCCAACACCGTCGCGACAAATGACGAAATCGCCCCTGTGCGGTTTTTTTTGTTAATTTTCTGTCCAACACTTCTTCAACTTGACATAATTAATACGGAAATTAATTATTCGGAGGCCTAAACGATGGAATTTGGATAAAGTCTCGTGATCCCGGGTCTGTGCCCCGCGTAGAATTTCTGGGGCCGTTTCCAATCAACCTGCCAAATTTCAGGCCATTCCGACAACGTCGGGACAAATTACAAAATTGCCCCTGATTCAGTTTTTCTTTCTTAATTTTCTGTCCAACACTTCTTCAGCTTGACATAATTAATACGAAAATTAATTATTCGGAGGCCTAAACGAAAAAATTTGGCTTAAATCCTGTTATCCCGGGTCTGTGCCCCCAGTCCAATTTCTAGGGCCATTTACAATCAACCTGCCAAATTTCGGCACACTGCGACACCGTCACAACAAATGACGAAATTGCCCCAGGTGCGGTTTTTCTTTGTTCATTTTCTGTCCAACACCTCTTTAACCTGACATAATTAATACGAAAATTGATTATTCAGAGGCCTAAACGAAGGAATTTAGATAAAATCCCGTGAACACGGGTCTGCGCCCCGAGTCTAATTTTTGGGGCCATTTTTGATCAACCTGCCAAATTTCGGCCCATTCCGACACCGTTGGGACAAATGACGAAATTGCCCCTGGTTCGGTTTTTCTTTGTTAATTTTCTGTCCAACACTTCTTCAGCCTGACATATTTAATACGGAAATTAATTATTCGGAAGCCTAAACGAAGGAATTTGGCTTAAATCTTGTGATCCCGGGTTTGTGCCCCCAGTCCAATTTCTAGGGCCGTTTACAATCAACCTGCCAAATTTTGGCCCATTCCGACACCGTCGGGACAAATGAAAAAATTGCCCCTGGTGCGATTTTGCGTTGTTAATTTTCTGTCCAACACATTATCAACCTGACATATTTGGAAATTAATTATTCGAAGGCCTAAACGAAGGAATTTGGATGAAATCCTGTGATCCCGGGTCTGCTCCCCGAGTCTAATCTCTGGGGCCGTTTCCAATCAACCTGCCAAATCTCGGGCCATTCCGACACCGTCTGGACAAATGACGTAATTGGCCCTCGTGCAATTTTTCTTTGTTAATTTTCTGTCCAACACTTCTTCAACCTAACATATTTATTACGGAAATTAATTATTCGGAGGACTAAACGAAGGAATTTGGAAAAAGTCCCGTGATCCCGGGTCTGTGACCCTAGTCCAATTTCTCGGACCATTTCCAATCAACCTACCAAATTTTGGCCCATTCCGACACCGTCGTGAGAAATGACGAAATTGCCCCTGGTGCTATTTGTCTTTGTTAATTTTCTGTCCAACACTTTTTCAACCTGATATAATTAATATGGAAATTAATTATTCGGAGGCCT